TGACTAAAAGCCAAAGGAAGCTCTATCTGAGTAAGACCAAGTAGTAAACAGGCAATAGACAACATTTGCAATCTTAGTTTCTACAGAATGAACATTCAATGGTAATGAGTTCAGCCGTGAAGCAAACAGGTCCAGGATGTCAGCTAGACTTTTGCTTCCCCATTGTTTTCGGCTTTTCTTTGTCACCTCTAGGACTGAGAAGCCATGGTACAATGTAGAAAGACAGGTGCTTCAGATTCAGACAGTAGTTAGGTTAAATCTTAATTATACTATATGCCAACTTGTGTGAATAGCAGACAAATTATTCAATCCTCATGGCTTCAGTTTCCACATCTGTTGAATGGGGAAAGTCATATGAATATTCTGAGAGCTGTTATGAGGAATAAATTTAAAAGGACAAAGCAAGTAAAATGTCTCATGTGGTGATGAGGGTACAGCAAACACTTAATAAGATATGATGAAGTCAGATGGGATTGTTATTGGAGTGAACTTTACATAGAACATCCATACCTATACAGATAAGATAATGACAATAATGTACAGATTGTATTATTGTGCTTCAGACTGTATTCAAGGAGTGCTATCCACCAACCTTCTGAGACAGTAAGGTAACAGATTTAAATACATAGCAAGACTCTAAATTTGAGTAGCATCTTTCTAATAAATTTTCATTCAGGAAATTTCATATTACTTGGGAAAATCATAGAAAAGCTTAATGAAAAGTTGTGAAATGTATTTTAAAGACACCCATATTAATTCTGCAGTATAATGTGCAATGTGTATAATAATGAAGTTCAAATGTGATGCCTGCATTCCTTGATCTCCTGGTTTCATCAGTATAACTGAAAATGCCACTTCATCCCTGGACAGCTGTCTAATAATTATCTAAGATTCAGAGTGTTTTAAAACTATTTTTTTAAACATTTATTCCTTAATAAAACTCTTATTTCATTTGACTATGTTAAAGAGCAGAATCACAGTTTTCTTCATTAATAACTAACAATTCTGATTTGGCATGGTGGTGGTTATGTGCCGTGGAATCAAATCTGACACATAGCGACCCTGTACAGGGTTTCTGAGGCTATAAATCTTTACAGGAGCAGAAATTCTCTTCTTTCTCCCACAGAACAGCTGGTAGTTTCAAACCGTTGACCCTGAGATTAGCAGCCTGATTCGTAACCATTGTGCTACCAGAGCTCCTTATGATTTGGTATGGTGGTTATGTGCTGTGGAGTTGGTTCTGACTCATAGCGACCCTGTATAGGGCTTCTGAGCCTATAAATATTTATGGGAGCAGAAAGTCTCATCTTTCTCCCATGGAACAGCTAGTACTTTCAAACTAGCTGACCTTGAGGTTTAGCAGCCTGATTCGTAACCACTACGCTACCAGATTTGGTATAGATTTTCCCAAATAATTGTCTTTACTGCTTTGTAACATATTTACTGTTCCAGAATATAAAAACTTCAAAAGAGTTGCATCACATAATGTAGGAAAATATGATAATTAAGGAAGGGCTGTGAAGGCCAGAGACAGAATTAGAGTAAAGATCAACCCACAACATTTCTAAATTGTTGATCCTGTCACGATGGTCATTTTAAAGCTATCTAAAAGTACCATTAATTCTTTTCTAAGGAATTTGACATTATTAAGGTTATATGTATGGTCAAGGAGCCTGTCATTTTTTTGTAGTAATATTAACCAATGCATTTTTTGAAGCCCCTAAAATGTCTTCACTAAAAGAAGTTGCTATCATGCCAGGAACAATCATAAAGACAAATGATATATGGTTTCATGGCTATCAAATAGAAATAATGACAATAATAATCTGATGCAAATCATTTCTGGGAACAATATTTTAGTAAAGTATTTGTTCTGGATTGATTTGTGACCCCTCAAATTTGTGCTGTAAATCCCAACATGTATTATACAACCATGGCTGCAGGTTAATGCATTGGACTGCAAAGTAGGTTTGAACTGCAAGGTTGGTGGTTCAAGCTCACCAGCCACTCCTTGTTGTTAGCTGCCATCAAGTTGGTACTGACTCCTAGCGACCCTATGCACAACAGAACAAAACACTGCCCAGTCCTGGTCCAACCTCACAATTGTTGCCACGCTTGAGCCCACTGATGCTGCCACTGTCAATCCATCTCACTAGGGGTCTTCCTCTTTTTCTCTGATCCTCCACCTTACCAAACATGATATCCTTCTCCAGCAACTGGTCCCTCCTGACAATATGTCAGAAGTATGAGAGATGAAGTTTGGCCATCCTGGCCTCCAAGGAGCACTCTGGCTGCACTTCATTAAACACAGATCTGTTTGTTCTTTAGGCAGCCCATGGCACTTTCAATATTCTCCTCCCACACCATAGCTCAAATGCATAATTCTTCTAAGATTTTCGTTATTCACTGTCCAACTTTTACATGCATATGAGGTTATTGAAAATACCATTGCTGGGTTTAGGCGCACCTTACTCCTCAAGTTGGCATCTTTGCTCTATATTGGGCCCTAACTGATTCCATAGCACTTAACATATACAACCTGTGGTTATAATCCCCTTTGGAACAGGTTTTCTTTGTTATTAATTAGATCAAAATCAATACAGGATATGCTTTAAGTTTGTTATTAATTAGATCAAAATCAATACAGGATATGCTTTAAGCCAATCACCACTGAGACATAAAAATCAAGTTAGGTATAGAACAAGCAAGCATAAATGGGGAAAAGTTTATGCCACATGATATTACCAAGAAACCAAGAAAGAGAAGCTGAAGGAGACAAGGATTTTTACCAGAGCAGATAGAGAACTTTCCCCTAGGATCAATACCCTAAAGTAGCACTCCTAGCCTCCTAATTGTGAGAAAACAAATGTCTGTTCTTTAAAACCACCCACTCGTGGTATTTCGGCTACAGCAGCAAGATGTAACTAAGACAGTATTATAAAGATGAACATTTGTAAGATAAAGTAAGGCCACAAAAAACAGCTTTGGAAGTTAGCTTTCCTGAATCTTGTATTTTTTTCCTTTCAAATATGCCTTCCTGATAATATCAATTAAATTTAGATATCTTTTGTTTTATAGATAAACTTACCTATGCACATAATTATGTATACACAAGGTTATTCAATGACTATAACAGCAAAAGATTGGAAATTACCCAAATAACATCAATAGGGTACTGGTTAAATACATTGCAAGAGTCCTGGTATGGTGCTGTTGGTTAATGCACCAGAGCACAAAGCCATTTGAACTGCAAGGTTGGCAGTTCAAGCTCACCAGCTGCTCCTCAGAAACCCTATACAGGGTTGCAATGGGTTGGAATCAACTCAACAGCACTTAACAACAACAACAACAATCCAATTATGTGCTACCATGCAGCTGTGAAAAAAAAAGTATATGTATATATATGTGTATGTGTGTGATTATATACATATATATACTTATTTGTACGTAGAGATATTCATAGAAACACACAAAAAATATTAGTCTTATGTAGTCAGTGGTAAATCTGGGTGCATATACATGGGAATGTGATGGATAGCTGTAGATATTTTTATATTTTGATTTGTAAGCCATGCAAATGTATTACCTATACAGAAACTTTGAAAATTAAATTTAAAATGTACAATTATGAGATCTTGTTGCATGGATTTTGATTTTCTTTTATATTTCTTAGACAAGGTTATTTTTTTCTACAAATCGAACAGGGTTGATTAAGTTCAAAGAAATAATAATATATAAAGTCTATTCAGGAAAAAAAAATATTGTTTAGAAAGATAGTAAGATAGCTCAGTTTAGAAAGCATGACATATAAAATTAAATACTTGCTTGCTTTTTTAGAATTTAAAATAATAGCTGTAAAATTTACTTTGACTGTTGTATTTTTGAACTATCTATCAATACACATTAAAGGCTATGTCTGATTCCAAAGTTGAAGAGACTGAGCATGGATGCTTCTTCCAGGTTGTAAATTTTTGAATAAAGAACTTGGTCATTTAAATCACTTATAAAGACTAAGTTTTAAAGCATAGTTATACAAATAGCATGCTCATAAGTCCTTGTTAACTTTTCCAGCCTTTGTTGCAAGCATTGTTGTTGACAGTGACATTTAAGCAGTATATCAAGAAAGATTAAAAGGAAACAATACAACTTTCTCATTGTTTTTGAAAAAGAATACTGTTTTATGCCTGTATTTTATTATAAATAACCAGGTTTTGTCATATTTTATCTTCTTGCCAGCAAATGAAGGACATTGTTTCATAAAGCTTCTAAAATGTACATGAATATTTAATTAAATCATATTTCCTTGAGAAAATAAAGTTCATTCGCATTTATAGCAGACACTTGTGAGGAGCACATAATTGTCGTAAGACCAGGGTAGCCAGTACCGGTTGCTTGTGGAACAAAACTCCTCAATTTTTAAAACATTTTTTAAAAAATAAACATACAATCATAGGTATTCATTTACTTTAAAAATTCTAAAGATAAAGAAAATTATCATCTATATATTTAAGTCCTTGTATAAATTACAAAACTCAAGTTTATGTTACAGAGTCCCTTCCCCATAGGAAGCATAAAGCACTTTTGTGGTACCTTTCACCAGTAAATATTTGTATCACATTGAATTTGACAAACAAAATAAAAGTTGATATTGCCTCTTTAAGCCCAAGAAAACACTCTTCTAAGTCATCTCTCATGATGAATGAGTTCCAAACGTCATTTGATTGCCATGATTTAAATCAATCTTGAATAAAGATGTAAAAAAGTAACACACATATTGACTTCAGTAGAAATCTGAAATATCAGTGAACTGCAGACTCTTCTTGCTTGAGGTCAACAAGCACCCCTCGGAAGACAACCAACAGGAGTTTAAGACCAGGACAATAAAATAAAATAATAACAACAATAATAATAACAATAACAATAAAAATAAAATAAAAATAACAACAACCAACAATGAGGTAAACTCCCCTTTAAAAAGGCAATGAGTTTTGCCTGGACTGTCAGGAGAGAGTTCGATTGTACCTGACACCCAAATGTTTTTCTAACCAGAGTTCAGCCAGTTGCATGGTTGAGGCGAAAGTACTTGCCTTGGATCCTAAGCACATCTTGTACTGCTTAGGGTCCAAGTTAGGATCACAATGAACTGGATGGAAAATATGCACCACTCCTACTTCTTGACTTCTAAAGGGCCTTAAGCCAAATTGGATAACTTTATTGTAGAGATCTACATCTTCCAGTCCCCAGCCTTGGATTGAGGTATCAAATCCACCTGCACTCAGAAGATCACTTTTATAAATACAGGTGATTCCATATCCATAGTCTCTCCAAAATCCAGTTTTCTTTGAGATGATGAAATCATCATCAGTGGGATGACTGCCCTCATTGGTTACCTTTGGGTCATACTGGCTAAAGATGATGGGGTAGTACACCTGTTGTCCCTGAATTGTATTATCTCTACATCGTTGGAGAAAGTCTCCTCTGAAGATCAAATCAACATCACAAAATAGCAGCAACGTGTCATTATCAAACTGGGAAGAAGCCATTTCAAGACCAAGGCCTCTGGAAAACTCTCCTTTAATGGGGATCAGGGTCAGTTCTGCATTAGGGTACTTGTTCTGATAGTCCTGTACCAGCTCAATATGCTTGCTAGAATCTTGGCCAGAATCCCCACTAAAAAGGATTATGACAAGCTTTACTTTCTGCTTTGGGATAAGACAAATATTTTCAAAGTTATTCATGAATCTCAAGAAAATGTCATACCTTCCTATGAGAGGAACAAGAATGTGTATTTTCTTTTCATTGTGCCCTCCCATTTCTTTTGCACCTTGAAAAGATGATAGTATTTTTAAAGAATTAGATATTAAGGAGAATGACTGAGTGTCACTATTAATGCTTTCCACAAGACTGTTGACATCTAGCTCTTCAGTTTCTCTGAAAAAAGGTTTGCTGAACAGCTGTTGAAGGTATGCATGGCGTCTCACTGGCACAGTGAGTTTTCTCCCTTTATGTCGTTTGTATAAAAGGAGTAAATCCAAGATGTATTCCACCCCATGCATGGGGTCTACCCTGCGGTAACCATACTGGATTTCCTTGAAGTCAATGAGTCGTCCTCTACTCTTGGCATTCTCATTGATCATCTCCATCACCTGTAGCACAGTGTCATCCAGAGCTTTTCTTAGGATGCTGTTGATGTTCTGTCGAGGTGGCTGATTCTCAGCTGCTGAGTAAAGGAGCTTTCCAGTAAGGAATTCCCATTCTATCACTTCATCTCTCTCCCGAGGCTGGAAGTGGTTGAAAGAAGGCATCACTCCCAGCTGCTGATCCTCTTTGCTCACTTCACTGTTACTGAGTGTGCTCATCAGAGCACTCTCCCGGTGGAGCTGGATGGTACGGTAACGAAGTTCAGAAATTTTGCGGCTGAGCATGTAATTATGTAACCTGTACTGGTATGCAGGCCTTTTGTTGGGATGAAGTGTTATAGCTGCGTGGATTTTGCTATTGTGAAGATCTTGGATATAACCCTTTCGATTATGTTCATAATTTTCATGAAAGAGTTGCTGCATCTGGAAAACAAAAGAAAGTAAAAATGTTAGGATATATTTTTTAAAGTTATAAACTTCAAATATTTAAATTAAGCAGTTACAAATTTATATGATATTTAATAACAGAAATTACTGATGAGATTTATATTTAAAAGAAATTAAAATACTTTCAAATTCATATGCTCAAATATTGCAAATTAAACTTCTAGCTATAGATTTTGAATTAAAGAAACTCTGACCTTCTGTTTACTCAGAGATCAGCCCAAATGGGAAAGAAAACAAGAAATGAATATACTCAGAACTCCCATAATAGACCACTGGGAAACAGTGAGCTAGAAAAGAGAGGTCTATGTTTGTTAATATTGGGCAGAGTGGGCAGAGCATGGATTACAACTCACTGTAAAGAAAATAAAAATCCTCACAACTGGACCAATAAACAACATCGTGATAAATGGAAAAAAGATAGCTATTGTCAAGGATTTCATTTTACTTGGATCCACAACCAATGTTCACGGAAGCAGCAATCAAGAAATCAAATGACATAATGTATCAGGCATATGTGCTGCAAAAGACCGCTTTAAAGTGTTAAAGAGCAAAGATGCTGCCTTGAGGATTAAGGTGCACCTGACCCAAGTCATGCTATTTACTGCATATGCATGTTCAAGCTGGACAATGAGAAAGGAAGACTATAGAAGAATTGATGCATTTGAGTTAATGGTGTTGGATAAAAATATTAAAAGGACCATGAACTGCCAAAAGATCAGCTAAAATGCCCCTAGGAAGTCAGGATGGTGAGACTTTATCTCATGTACTTTGGACATATTTTCAGGAGCGAACCGTCCATGGAAAATGACATCATGCTTGGTAAAGATACAGAGGAAGACCCAATTAAATGGGTTGACACAACGCCTACAACAATGGGCTCAAATCTAACAAAACTGTAAGAATGGTGTAGGACCCAGTAGTGTTTTGTTCTGCTGTGCATAGGGTCACTATGAATAGGAGAAAACTCGAAAGCACCTATCAACCATAGGAAAAAATAACAGTTGAAGGATTTGTCAACTATCCTGTGAAAGTGTTTTCTTTAACCAGGAATTTCCACAACATAAGAGCTGTGCCCTTGGTTGATTTGGTCCCTCTTTATTTTGTCAATGTTGTTATGTGCAATTGAGTCGGTTCCGACCCATAAATGACCAAGTATCAGGCTTCCGAAGGAACCACCGGTGAACTTGACCTGCCAAACTTGTGGTTCAAGCCAACTTTGTAGTTCAGTGCATCAACCCACAGAGCTACATCAGGTTTCACTGTTTTGTCAAAGCTTTTGGTCAATTACCAGTTTGCCCACCTTAACTCTAGCTTCAGTTTTATTTTCTCCTAACAGGAATCCTCAGCATGTTATTGTATGCAAGACAAATTACACTGATAATTTGGTAAGGAAGATTCAAGAAAGTTGGGTTATTTAACCAAGAGTGTTATGGGGCAATTACAAATAGAATTTTTGACATTGGTAGTTTTTTGACTTAACACTAAATTGTGAGTGGAGGAACATTATTTTAGGAAAAGCTGCACAATTTACTGTTAAAATTATGTTAGATTATTTGAAATAATTCAGTCTCCCTCATTTTAGTCAACTGCCTCTCTTTAAAGAGCTATGTTTTGGACAGAACAACTAGAAAGAATCTCAACAAAGATACAGAAGAACTAAATGACTCAATGAACCAACTTGACCTCGTAGACTTATACAGAGCACTCAGTCCAACAACATCACAAAACATATAATTTTATAGTGCACATGAAAATTATCCAGAATAAACAATATATTAGGCCACAAAGCAAGCCTCAGTAAACTTTAAAAAACTGAAATACTACAAAGCATCTTTTCACACCACTGCTATATAAAATTAGAAATCTACAATAGGAGTATCAAGGGAAAAAAAATCAAATACATGGAAATTGAATATAACACCCTGCTGAAAAGTTACTTGGTAATAGGACAAATTAAAATTTTTTCTTAAAAAATTCCTTGAACCAAATGAGAATGAAAGTTGTTGCTGTTGTTGTTGTTGTTGTTGTTGTCAGATGCCATTGAGTCAGCAGCAACTCATAGCAACCTTATGTACAACAGAATAAAACACTGCCTGGTCCTGCAAAAACCTCACTATTGTTGCTACATTTGAGCCCATTTTTGCTGCCATTGTGCCAATCCATCTTGTTGGGAAGAATGAAAGTACAGCATACCAAAACTTTTTGTTGTTGTTGTTGTTGTTAAGTGCCGTGAGTTGGTTCCGACCCATAGCGACCCTGTACAGGGTTTCCGAGGGTGTAAATCTTTACGGGAGTAGAAAGCCTCATCTTTCTCCTGCGGAGCAGCTGGTAGTTTCGAACCGCTGACCTTAAGGTTCGCAGCCCGATTCGTAACCACTATGCTACCAGAGCTCCTTACCAAAACCTTTGGGACACAGCAAAAGCAGTAACTAGAGGGCAGTTTATATTAATAACCACACACATTCAAAAAGAAGACAACCAAAATCAACACATTAACACATCTCCCACAATTATAAAAAGAACAGCACAGTAATCCTACAGATATCAACAGAAAATGAACAATAAAGATTGCTATTGTTGTTAAGTGTCATCGAGTCAGTTATGACTCATAGCAACTGTGTAGTGTTTCCAACTAGTGACTGGTGAGTTTGAGTGTGGACCTTCTGATTCAAAATGACCTTTTGGTCTTGCCCTTATCTTATAGCACCACACCAGAACTAGAGTAGAAATAAATGAATTAGAAAACAGAAAAACAATAGAATGACTTAACAAGAGAAGCAATTAGTTCTCTATAAGCATTAACAAAATTGACAATTGGCAAGTCTAGCAAAAGAACAGAAGGAGAAGATGCAAATGACTTGCATAAGAAAAGATATGGGTGGCATAACAATAGAACGAAAAGAAATAAAAAGAACAATAACAGAATAATATGAAGAATTATACTCCAACAAATTTGAAAATCTAGAAGAAATGGACATTTTTTTTAGAAAAACAGGATCTATGTAAACTAACACAGAAAAAAATTAGAAAACTTGAATAGATCTGTAACTAAAGAAGAAATTGATCAGGTCATTAAAAAAATTGTCAACAAATCACAGTCTGGGCTCCAATGGTTTTTCTGGTGAATTTTATCAAACTTTTAGAGAAAAACTGACATCAATTCTACTCAAACTATTACAGAGCATAGAAAAGGATGGCAAACACCTGAATACATTTTATGAATCAATCATAGTCCTTAACCAAAGCTAGGCAAAGACATCACTAAAAAAGATAATTACACACCAATATCCCTCATGAACATAGATACAAAAGTTCCTAAAAAAATTCTAGCCAATACAATTCAACATATCCCCAACAAAACCCATCATGACCAGGTGGAATTCATACCAGTGATGCAAGTAAAGTTCAATATTAGAAAAACTATCAACATAATCCACAATATAAATTTTAAAAAAGGAAAAGAACCAAATAATTCTATTAAAAAGTGCAGAAAAGACATTTGATAAAATCCAACATTCATTATTAATTAAAAAAAAAAAAAAAAGGAATAGAAGGGAAATTACTCAACATAATTAAGGGCATATATGAAAATCCAACAACTAACATTACTCTCAATGAAAAGAAACTGAAGCATTGCCTTTGCAAATAGGCATCAGCAAAGGATGCCTTTTATCACCAAACTTATTTAATGCTGTGGTAAAAGACTTAGCTAGAATTATAATGCAAGAAAGAGAAATTAAAGGCATACAAATTGGCAAAGAAGAAGCAAAACTCTCTGTGGTGGTGGTGGTGGAAGAAATGATGAAAGCTTCTCAGATATTGTCAAACATCTTAAGACAATGAGTTGCTAGACCTGGGGGTGAGGACCATAGTCTGAGGGGACACCATGGTCAATGGGCATAACTTAGTCCATGAATATAATGTTCTACACCCTACTTTGGCCAGTAGTGACAGGAATCTTAAAAAAGTGCATGAACAGCTAGCTAAGGTGCAACTATTTATCTCTCTATGTATGGAAGAAAGAAGAATGATGAAAACTGAAGATGCTTGGAATCAACTAGTACAATGGACCAATGGAGCAGGTGAATAACAGTCACATGACTTTGAGTAAGAAAGAAATATATGGTGCCCGGCTACCATTACCAACTGCTTTGAAAGGGATCGCATTAGGAGGTCCCAGATAGAGTGAGAGAAAATGTGAAACAAAACTCAAAATTATAAAAGAAGAGAAAAAAAAAGAGACCAAGCTCTGGAATGAAATTCACCCTTGTAGCCTAATTGTCATACAAGCAGTAGATAGGTATATAGAGGGGCCAACAACACAATAAATTATGCTCACCATAGAATGGTCAATCATTCAAGATCAAAATGAAAACGTTTACCTAGGGACAAAATTGAGATGGGACAGGAAGATGATTGTGGTGGTGGTGGTGTGCTGTGGAGTCGGTTCCAACGCATAGTGACCCTGCTAGGGTTTCCAAGGCTGTAAATGTTTACGGGAGCAGAAAGCCTCATCTTTCTCCTGTGGAACAGCTGGTAGTTTCGAACTACTGACCTTGAGGTTAGTAGCCAAACTCGTAACCACTATTCTACCGTAGGAGCTCCTTGGAAGGTGATTAGAATAAAAATAAAAACCAAAGGGAGAAAGTGGGACAACTATTGTTACCTGGTGGTAATTACAATCATTGAGACGAAACAAAGTATATTATTTGTTGAATATAAAGCTGATGATCTTGTCTGTAAGCCTTCAGTCAATTTACAATAAAGAGCTAAAAAACAAAACAAAACAAAACAAAAAACTATGATTTGATGCTATGGCATTTACAAAATTTCCACAGCTTGGGGTATACACTCCAGTATAGTGAAAGATAAAATCCACTGACAATAGAAAAATCACAGCAGCAAGTAACACTAGTGTGTCCTGATTGATCCCAGTACTTTAAGTGTTGTTGTTGTTATGTGCCGTGGAGTCAGTT